GTATGACTGCCTTTTCTGGGACATTGGGTGGAAAGTGGTTTTCCATCACATCGTTTAATGGAGACGCTCTCTGGTTTGCCATATGTTTTGTATATTTGCTCGATGGAAAATTTATCGAAGCTCAAAGGTAGTTTAGCTAGGACATTGCGGAGCTGGATGTCTAGATATAGGTGCAGAAAATATCAGCTGGGAGAGGTTCCGGTAACAAAGAATCGCAGATTATCATAAGACAAACCTCCATGAACGTAGCCTTGTGAATGCATATATGCAATACCCAGTGTGAGGCAGGCCGACAGGACCCGTGCAACTTCGAGAGGAAATAGGCGGCTGAAAGAGACTTCTCTAAGATTGCATCTTGCTGGAGTCATTGTATAGCATGGATGGGTCCCATTGGGGCCTTGTAGCTCAAATTCATCTAGGGGTAATGGTATTGAATGGCGGCCCGGATGGGCGGACAAAGACAATGGCCGTGGCGCAGAGAGAGCTTGGAGAACCTTCATCTCATGTGAATGCCAGTTTGCTATACCAACTTTGACAGCAACGTAGCTCTTCAGATGAGTGTCTTGTGCAAGCCAAACAGTTGAATAGCCTCCAAAACCAAGCTTGTCCACAATGCAGTATCTCTCATTTAGCAAATCCCCAATCATGATAGGATGATATCCCCCCGGCTTGTATTTTTCAAGCGACTCTGCACCATTAATCCAGTTGTATTGGACATCTTCTTCACCACGTGGCATTGTGGTTGAGGTACAACAAGACGAGAAGCTCAACCCAACCCTATGGAAGCTGCAAATGGATAGTGAGCGAGACACTGGAGTTGAGTGAGGGATGGATTTTGACAACAAGAAAGCAGGGATGACAGAAGCGGCTATTTTGGAAGAGCGAGACATCTCAATTCGATGTGGTGAAAGGTGCATCCATGTTGGTGTTTATGGATGTTAGAAATGATATAACATATTGAGGGTTCTGTTGATTACACTAGCAAGAATCTTCTATTGTCTCAATTTCAGAAACTCTGCCCCTATCATATATTTCAACATTCTCTTTCCTATAGATACTGCCTGATTATCATGTAATTATTGGGGTGAAAATAATCAATTCAATTTATCTTTTCAATATTCAGTATTTGGGTCAATATTCGGACTTTATCTAGTTCCAACAATGGATTTGGAGCAGGCAGGCAGCACCCACATCGTGGAGAGTCAGCTCAACCCTTACATAGAGCCAAGACACGAAATATCATGCATTCTAAAAGCACTGTCATCACAACACTCAGTCTTCATCCGTTTCTTCTGCAAGAGCATGAATCTAGTGAGTAAGACAGGGAAATGTCTGCTCAAAAGACATGTAACAGTTTCATTGTTGCTAGCCTTTTGAGGCATAATGAAGTGCCTTATATACCAATCATCAAAATAGCCTGGTTATTTGCGGAGGCTCAGTCACTCAGCAACCTCAGTCACTGCAAATAACCAGGTTATGCTGGTGTATGTTCAATTTCTTGTTTTGTACATATAGAATACAAGTAGGTAGTTAGAGAAAACGCTGCTAAATTCTGAGTTTGCACACAGAAAAGTGCCTCTACCATAATCACAACCAACCAGGGGGGCGAGGCACAATTAGCGCAATTCTTTAGCGTGTACCTTAGTGTATTAAATACATAAAAACTACTGGATGATATGAGAGATCTGCTGTATTTATATGTTTTAGTGTAATTTATGTAATCTATTTGATCTAGTTAATCCAGGAATGAAACTCCTGCCAACACTGGCTTTTCAAACAGAGAGGAATATTATTACATGCTTCACAACCATATCTTGTCCTTGGAGCTCTTCCTTTATTCTGCTCTGTTCTCTTTCTTTTATACTGACACCAGACACAAGCTTGAGGTCCTGGCAGAGGAATTCAATGGATTTGATTGAGTAGTAGATAGAGGATTTGAGAATTCCAGGAGTTGAAGATAGAGCTGCCGACGGAATTCAACATGGGATACGCCGTAAACCCTGGAAACTGCCATCAAAGCAATTTTGGAAGGACACAACTCATGACTCTATAATAATTATCCTTATGGTCCCAATTTGCTACTGAAGCCAAATCTCGTTTCGCTATACCCCAAGATTTTTTAGCTGCTTCTGCTCTATGGAACATCATAGAAGCAGCTTTTTCAGAAAGGGCTGAGATCTGCTGAGCTCGCCTATCCAAAGAATTAAATGATATCACCACTGCCATCTATGGGGATTCAAACCGTACGTTCGTGGAACGCCTCCTTGCTATCCGCGTTGAGCATATCCGCATAGGTTATACTACTAAGCCCAATCTCAATTATTTTGATAAACTTCTTGAAGGCCTCACCAAAGGATGGTCATCCTTGTCAAAGATCGTATGGATCAAGCTGCCAGAGATGATACCAAACAGCTAGCTTACTACTGTCAGGTTCCTGGACTACTCCTTTTGTGCACGCTATTAATGCTGTATGCAATTGAATGACTTTGAATATCTTACACCCTCCGTGACTTACTTCTGTAACTCTAACACCCCACTACTGCTGATCGTGGATAACAGTGCTTAAGAGCTTGCCTTCATCACTGGATACTCAGCTGCTTGCTTTACCTACCACAAGTACCTACTCAGGGCCGTTGGTTGTATTTTCCCAAGGGTGCTCAGATCTCCCAACTTCAATGTGGCGCGGACGAAAGACAATATGGCAACTTCGATCCACATAGAGATATCGTCCACAGAGGTACTTGCAATGCCACGCCTGGACTCGATCGTTCCATGAGATGTGTTGAGTAGGTATAGGATGTCCCAGCAGATCATTTTATCGTAATTCGAGTTCATGAGCAGGGCCGAATCCCGCATGTTGGAGGCTTGTCCGACGAGCGCAATCCTCTGGCGCCGGGACAATTTTCGGTGAGGGAAGTTCGCATTGTCCAACGAGCTGCTCCGAGCATATTCGTTCGACCTCGGTCTTGAGGGAGAAAGACTTCAAAGGCAGGCTCGAAATGAATATCGCTTTGGCAAACCTTCTTGAGGCCTCTCTAGAGAATGCCCCAAGCCAGCGAGAGATGCACATGTTCGCCGCAGCTGTCCACATAAGCGTCCGACATCAGCACTCAGGTTATTTATTAGAAGATAGTGAGTGGGTTTCTGGACAGCCAGAGCAAGTGACCTAATAACGGAGTCACTCCGTGCATCGAGGGTTTCGGAGAGGTTTCTCAGGGTTGCCGACGAAATAAAATGACGAGCCGACACTAAGAGTAGGCAATATTATGTTGCTGCGCCGCCATCAAACGCTCTGTCGACAATGTCAGGGGCTTTTCAACTACATTACGGGTACATTTGTTTTCCCAACAGCTTGTGGCACAGCTTCTATCTACCTAATACCCAACTCATACCATGTCCGACTCTTTAGCATCGGGATGTTCATCTCCTCCGTCCGCAACACCACTTCCCGCGCGTTCTCAGAATGATATATTCAAGGATTCTGGCTTCATTCTGAAAGTGAGAAGTGCTCCGCCAGACTGGTTCTACCAGGCTCCCTACCCACCCTCTCTTATTGATCACTATGCCGCGCTCACAGGACTGTATTTCTTTTACGGAATGCTTCAAGTTCCCCGCATGCTCGCTGAGATTCTTGATCTGGATGCAAAACCGGATCTCAGATCGGGATATATAACTGGTCATTCTACCAAACTCTAGGGGCAGCATGCGTTGAAGGATGGTCCACCTGGAAACATTATTGAAGGTATGGTCTCTGATGTCCAGACTGTAGAGCAGAGCACGGGATTAGCGGAATATGAGATACGAGTTTATGGTGTGAAGCCTTGCTTTATCAAATTTACCGATGGAAAGGAACCCAGAACTGCATATGGAAATGTGTTCATGTTTGTTTGAGATGAGAGAGTTATATGAGGGCGAGTTTGATCTTAAGCTTTGGTTGCAATGGATGGGGAAAGGATAGAAGGCCCTGAAGAAAGGAGAGAATGTTCACTTATTATACACCAAGATATTGTATCCAACAGCATATTGTGATCATTGTTCTATCTTCTTTCCTGTTTTGAACCAGATGAACATTGACACCTCTTCCTAAGTCAACCAAGGTTGTTCAAACAACCCAAGAACATCTTCTCCGCTTTTGCTCTAAACATCACCACGAAACATCGTTGGGATACCTGCAATGATATGCCATATTTCTTCTGAAAGTTGAAACTCGCGATGCCAAGCTCAGCAGTTAAAGCAAGCGGTTATCTGGAGATCGCAGATGTAGCAAGGATCCAATAACCTCTTTTGTCAAAGTGCATGCACTGATTAAACACACACATCTCCTCCCTCTCCTCGCTCACCGACCTCTTTTCCAACATCCCACCCCATCTCTTCCGTTTCCGGACGTACAAACTACTAAACAGCAGATTCGCGCGTATTACATGCTGATCAAGCTCCTGAGGCACGCAAAAGGAGACTGGGGCAGTATGTCTATGTTCTGACAGGGGGGTTGCGTTGGAGGAGCGGAAGACCAGTCGCGGGTGTCAACACCACGGGGGCAGTCTGTGAGTTGGGTTGCCGCAAGGGGAGGTTGGATGGGGAGACGAAGATGGGGGTTGATTGGCAAGGCGAGCGAGCTATAGAGCGACGAGGATAGGAGGTCCTTGCTTGGTGTGGGATTGGGGAGGCTGGTGTTGCCGATTGTGAAGATGGTGATGAGGATGGGACTCAAAGGGGAGTTGAAGGGTGATCTTGCTTGTGCGCTGATGTGTAAGGGTGAGTGACATTGCATGAGTTAAGTATATAAATAAGTTGTAACTACCTTACTTTGACTCTCACATGTTGGTGTAGTGATATGGATGCTAGGACAGTCACATTCCGTCAATATTATTCAGAGATAATATTTAACTAAATCTTGAAATAAATTCTCTTTGATTCAAAGATTTTTTTCTCGACAATAATCACTCTATGTCTTCAATTAGTTTATTGAATCATTTTGTGAGGAACAGAGAATCTGGGCTGATAGCTGTGCGAGAGGGCTGTAGCGGAGCCTGCTAGGCCTCTCGTAGTCGGCGGGCTGACACTCGGCTCCAATTTCTGCATGGCTAGAGAAAAGCCAATCCAGAGTTGGTGGAAGTTCTGGTACTCCAGCCTCTGCACCGTGTGCAAGGACTTTTGTTCCACACTTCCGTCGAAGGGTGTGCGTGCTGCGTATATCTTTAAGTTCGAAGATGATATTCAGAATTGGCCGGGGAAAATCCAACCCCGTACTCCCTCTTTTAGTGACAGGGCTGACGGAATATGAAGTGCGGTTCAAGGTTGGCCGCCATAAGGAATTCAAAGTGGCGTCTAGACCGAATGCTTGTACAGTACATTTTCTACATTCGTTTAACAAGCATCCAGGGAAGAGCAGACGAGCCCACCAAGAAAAGCTGTTTGGGCCGGTTTTAGTCTGCAGCAACAATCGAGTCAGAGGATAACATTTTACGGAATACTGCAGGCTGCATGACGCAGCACACTCACACAGAAGATGGTCCATGCACATTCTTCAGTACGATGATGTGTTGGGCTTGATCGCAAGATACCCATAGGCTTCCTTCTGCATTCCTGGAGGAAGGGAAGAATGTGAAGATCAGTATTTCTTCACAGACAGTCACTCCATCTTCCGTATGTTGTAGGCCTTGTGAACCTCGGGAGTTTCGCTCACGGCCTTGCACTGGTGAAAATACACCGAACTCACTCACGTCCGTGGTTTACTTTGTTGTTGGTTGGTTTCGTCAAAGTCAATATATCCTATATCCCGGTTGTACGCTGTATGTAGGTTAGGTTTTGGCCGTTGGCGGGGTTCCCTCCCGCTCCGTTAATCAAACAACAACAACACAACCACAGCAACCACAACGTGCTCAATACAACAAAAAGGGGGATAAACAAAGGGAATTGGACAAAATATCTTTGTGGATGAACGCCCCCCTTCTTCATCTCGGGGCGAGATCTGGAGAATAACCTGTTTCTTGACCGGCAAGCCGCATGATCAGGTCAGCCGAGGGGATAAATGAGTTAGTTCGTTAACTACTAGTTAAGAGCCTAAGACGTTGACTAACTAAGTGGACGACTAGTTCAACTATCCTGGACCGCCACCAACCACACAGGTGGAATAGGATCGGTCTGGCGTAGATCATTTTTACTTTTGGGTTTTCGCCGGGGCAAGTTGAAGCGAGGGGTTCGTTGGGAACTTGAAACTACTTTAACGCCATCAGGCAACCCATTCCACCGAGCAGGTTTGGTAGCATTGCGTCCATGGTCCAAGTTCGATGGCCAATACTCCGTATAGTTCTGCAATTTACCGTTGCCAGAGCGGCGAGTGCGATCTGACACAAGAAGAACTCCGCCTATGGGCATGTTGATACTTCCCCTGTATCGCATGCACCACAGTGTGCATGGGATGATGATTCATTGAAACGAAAGTGGGTTCCTCACAACCCCCTCTATATCCCGTGTCTAAAGCACGAGACGCAGTTGAATTTCCTCTTTCCGGCGGCCTGCGCTGCGAAATAAAACACATTGGCCACTCATGAAACTAAACGGAAACTCCCAACCGGGACAGGTCTGTTTGGCAGCGAATCAACATCCATTCCCCCTCCCCAAGGCCGAAACATTTATCGTTCCGGAATAGTTTAGAAGAGGCCGTCTTTCTTGGCTGGGCTAATAACTTTCTTTTCTATTCCGTTTCTTTTTGGATCTGGGGGTGGTCCGTGATGAAGCTCGCGTGTGCGGCGGGAATACGGCGGGGCGAGCTCGGTCTGCCACTCCAGCGATTTTAAAAATCGGTCTTCAAGGCCTTCGGATTTCGAAGAAACAACGTGAAGGGGAAAAAAAGGAATAAAAGTTGCAGGACAGCCATTAAAACATACGGACCCGAGCCGGAAATACCTGAGATCCTGTATTGGCTAGGTTGTTTCGCTTCCTCTGCAAGCATCCGTGGGAACGTTTGTTTATTTTGTAACCTTGTTCCCTAAATCATCATCTCTCTGTTTTCCTTCACCTTATCGATCACCTCCCAACACTCGTTTTAATCATAATCCCGCTGCTTGGCCCCTTTGCAGGGAGGGTTTATTGGTTTTTATCCCGATTCCCACTCCACTCTGGAATCTACTGCTCTCGCTCACGTAAATCACTGCGCCGTTTATTAACTCTATCCTTGAAAATTCCTGGAGATTACGAAGACAGAAAGAAAGGGGAGAGGCTGCCAGGTTGTTTTACCCCTTCCGTCTTTATTTAGACGAGGGGCACACCGACGGTGGAGTTTCCCATGTCGCAGCAAATCATACCATCATCATAACTATCGTTGATCACATATTATCAACTCTCTCGGGCACAAAGTCTGCAATAATTTTAGACACAGAGCCGAAAGAAAGAGATTGCGTCATCGCACTCATTTGCACCCGTACTTCTACCTCGTTGCTATCGCAAATAAAATCGCACTGGCCAGAGCCAGCGGCGCACGCCTCGAAAAGTCCAACAGCATATGAAGCAGCAGAATATATCTCCTTTATTAGTTTTCCTACGCCTAAAGCATTCCCGGCATACGTCCCTATCGACCGTTATATATTTATAACACTCATTGCGCCAGTTTACAAATATCAAATCAGGTTCCTAACTCGAAGGAAACATGCCATTCCAGCCCTCGAAATTCACGGAGCTTCTCGACACAGAAAAGCTCCAACAGCATACCTTCTCCGATGCAGACGTACGACTGGAAGACATCCTGGCTGTGGAAGCTGCGCGAGCCGCCTCTACCGCACGACGGGCAATGGTCGGCAGATCACTCACTAGCATTCCTCCGCCTTCTCAAGCCGCTGGTACCTCGCGACGGGCAATGATGAACCGATCACGCTCTACCACTTCCTCATCTTCAGTGTCGTCCTCATTGTCTTTGTCTTCCTCGTCCTCGGGTTCACGTACGAATTTCGCATCGCAGACAAAGTTAGCTTTTAGAAAAATTGCGTTTCCTAGTCGATAGTGGGAATGAAGTCTTTAACCTGCATGCGCTCCAAAATACAAAAGAAAAATATATAAAAAACGATAACGAAAACGAAAACGAAAAGATGCCATCGTTTGTGCTTTAGGTTTTTGGAGCGAGAGAAGCGTAGAAATAAGTCTTCTCTCGACGAAGTGACATCACCCAACTATGGCTGCTTTTTATATTCCAGCCATTGCCTTCGAAGAAATGCTCTTGTGGATCCGGGGTCAGGTTTGTCTATTTATTGAAGTTTGAATAACGGATAGTGCTTTTGCTTCTATTTACGCGATTTAATATGGGGTGGCACGGCAGCTGGGTTTTTTCTTCTCCGGTGGAGCGTTTTTGCTTTATCGATCCTTTTTCCTTTTTTCTCTCTTAGCACAACCTGACACCTGTGTTCTCCCTTTCCCCTTTTTATGCAACCGCTGGGCGCCGGCGTTGGTTGGACCTGGAGTTCACGCATATGCCCACTCCATGCGGATGTTTTTATCATATATTTGGCTATTTATTGTAATACCCCTCCCTTTACTGGCCCTTCCCCCGATAAGGGTTTGACTTCTCCCATCTCCACATTGATTTTGTTCCTCTTTACCTACTCAAAGCATGGAGCGACAACATGAGTTCACGACTGCTTGATCTGCCCTGATGAACCCCCCTTGAAACGGCTCATGATATTTCCCTTCTTGTTCCGACATATTTTCGCTCCCGTTTTATTACGCCATATACCCTAGCTTAAGATGTTTAACTGCAAACATATATACCGCTCCGTTTTCCCTGTCCAAGTTATAACACATAGGGTTTTTTTTTTTTTTTTCACTTCGAATCGCGGACGCCTCGCGCGGGAGGACGGCGATTTGAATTCTCCCCCATCCCCCAACCCCCAACTACATCTTCCTATATATGGGATGTTTTATCTTTTTGGGCACTAGTCCTTTTTATGTTGGTATTTTCGTCCCTCCCATTGCTTCCCATAACCCTCCCTCCCACGTTCGATCCCAATGGTTCGGAGTTGATGTTGGTGTGGGTGAGCGTGAGACATTTTTTCTTCTTATCCTCTCTATTTTCTTTTCTTTTCTTTTCTTTTCTTTTTGCCTTTTATCTCTCTTTCCTCTCTTTTGGGTGAATGGGTGGAAGGAAGGCCATCTTTGCTTTTGTATTTATTTGTTTTATGACGTGCCATAGTTTTAATTAAGGAGCGGATATTTGTTTGTTCTTCTCTAGATATATATAGGCGTATCGTATCCATTTGGCAAATATCAACTATCCACTGAAGTGGTTTGTGCCCTTTTGAAAAAAGAAAAGAAAAGAAAAGGAAGGGAAAAGAAAGTTCAACGTCTTTTCCTCGTATTTTTCTCTACGGCACTCTCTCTGCACGTGGTTTGCAACCTTCAAAACCCGTCTGCGGCATGGCGGAGCGTCTTCCGTCTCGTTTTAACCCTGTTAACTCTTTTTTTTTTTTTTTCCACCGCCAACATTGCATATAGTAAAGTCGGCAATGTAAATCCATGTCCTAGTGGACAGAGAGAACCTGGTAAATAATATTTTCTGTCTATTTTCGTTCCATGAGGATGAGGGCCTGTTCGGTGCGTCCGTACTTTTTGAATGCAATAGTGGATCTCATTAAAAATAGTGTATTTACCATATTCCATAATTGAGATCACTCCATGCTTACTTTTTAATTTCACATTCAACACAGATGTGTTGAGATCGTATTCTCTCAAATCCATGATTGATTTGTCTATATTTTAACCCTCATTATTAGTTAGAATTCATAAAAGCAGTGAATAAAAATGTCATAGTATGATGTCTCAATGCAATATCTGAATATGAAGAATGGCAATATTCAAACCTCTACAATTCCAACCTCATCAAGTAAGTGATTGAATTTTCAATTATTATTCTTTCAAACACTCTTTCAAACACATTTCAAAACATCATTTTATTAAATATTTACTGTCTTTCAAAAGTGATCATCTGCTTCTCAAATCAAACAACTCAAAATATTATGAAATCTCACAATGAAAAAAACTCTGTTTACTGAACTTTTGAAGATGAAAAAAAAAAAAAGAATTGAATATAGATAATAGCAACTTCAAATTCAAATTAAATCTTTGTCATACAAGCTGTCAAATAATCAACAAATCAGACAATAATTAAAAATGTATATAATAATTAATGAAAAAAGATCAAATATATTTGAATGTTTTGAATGAGATATAAATTTTTATTTATGATTGTACATGACTAAATGTATAATCATAAATGATAAAGAGATTATAAATGAATATTTCTTCAAACATTCTGATTTTGAAATCTTTCAAGAACATAGCTTTGAATTTCAAGAATTTATCAGAGAATTATTTAATGACAAATTTATCACTGATTAATTTGCAATTGAATATTATATAATAATATCTGAAATGAGAAAATATTCTACAGCAGATTCAGAAATTGAAAATAACTCATCATCTTTTATAAAAAACTCATCAATATTTAAAAATATCAATCATATAAAAAAATATTCAAAATTAAAAAATAGTTGATAAGAATAATCAAAATCTGACTGCAGCTGTAAAGAG